TCATTACCTTCCTGGGGATTCGCCCCCCTCGAACCTGCTACCAGAATGTCCTATGACCTGGACCCGCACGGGCCCCCGGACCCCTCAACGAGGTTCGGGCGTACACTTAAAAATGGCCTAGCTACGCCACTGAATGCACATGAGTTGGTGTATTAAAATTTTTTAATTCATATGAGTTGAAGTGTCTCTTCAATCCAGGTGAGTTGTAGTGTATTTTGAAATTTTATTTCACATGAGTTGTAGTGCATTTTAAAGTTGAATCCACATGAGTTTTTTTTTTAATTTAGTCCACATGAGTTGTTGTGTAATTAACATTTGATACTGTTAGTGGCTTTAACAGTAAAGGGGTCAAGGTCTAAACACAATGTGAATACATTCAAATTTTATCACATATTCTGGATATAAACCTACATGTAGTAAACCTGAATTAAGTGGTAGAGATTTTTTGATCTTACTTGATAATTAAAACCACACACACACACAATAATACATACTGTTGACAAACTTTATAATTTAATATTTCCCATTACATGTACACACCTGGAAGTTTTTTAAGATCTTTTAAGGGGAGTGTATCTCTGAAAAACAAGGTCTTCAAAATTTTTCTGAATGAGTGTCATGGTTTTTTTTTTTTTTTTGCATTTGGGGTACCTTTCAACTGTCATTGAATAGAAGCTAAAAACACCAAAGGGATATTCAAACTCATTAGTCGAAAACAAACTGACAATGCCATGGTTTAAAACTGAGGAAGCTCATATCTTGCTTTTTCTGAAATCCGACAGTACAATGTCAATTTAATGAATGTATACTCAGTGAGCAATGCAGGTTCTTGAAGCATTATGCAAAAGGGACATTGTGTATTTGTGACACAAGATCCCTAAATGTACTTTACAAAACCCAAAGGAAAATTATCTTTTTATTACGGTTCTTCATCTCGTGTTTTTACTTTTGAAAAGGGGCATAACTCTAGAATGGTTAAAGTGACGCCACCAAAATTAAAACTTGATCTGTATTTTGTGGTAATAAGCATTGTGTATAAGTTTCATAACATTTGGTTGAGGCAAACTAAAGTTAGAGAACGCAAAAGAAAAAAATCAGCAATTTTTCCATTTGAAAAGGGGCATAACTCTAGAATGGCCAAGTTAAAGTGACGCCACCAAAATTAAAACTTGATCTGTATTTTGTGGTAATAAGCTTTGTATATAAGTTTCATAACATTTGGATTTGAGGCAAACTAAAGTAAGGGAACGGAAACGAAAAAATTCAGCAATTTTTCCATTTGTAAAGAGGCACAACTCTAGAACGGTTAAAGTGACGCCACCAAAATTCAAACTAGATCTGTATTTTGTGGTAATAAGCATTGTGTATAAGTTTCATAACATTTGGTTGAGGCAAAATAAAGTTAGAGAACGGAAACGAAAAATTCAGCAATTTTTCCATTTGTAAAGGGGCATAACTCTAGAACGGTTAAAGTGACGCCACCAAAATTCAAACTTGATCTATGTTTTGTGGTAATAAGCATTTTGTATAAGTTTCATTACATTTGGTTGAGGCAAACTTAAGTAAGAGAACGGAAACCAACTTTGGGACGTATGGACGGACAAGGGTAAAACTTAATGCCCCCTCCGCTACGGCGTGGACATAAAAATTTATGTGAAACAGAATTATAATAATCTGTGTTACTGAGAAGCATACAATATTAACTTATGAAAACTATTGACACAAAATTCCAGTGATTATTAAGAGTTATGTTCAAAGATCTGTAGGCTGGTTCTCTCCCTTGCAACATACGGGTATCTTAGTCAGAGCCAAATAGATAAAGGACAGGGAACCAGTCTAAGACAATTGGTGTTGTTGGGTTACCATCTCTTCTTCTTCTTTAAGTTTCTAGCGATCCTTCAATTATTGAAGATTATTCGCCGGGCGTCGACTATAAAATTTTATAATTTACATTGTAGCAAGAAAAATAAAAAGAAACAAAATCAAAAAACCAAAATAATGTATGTGCATTTGAAAAATTTCATTTAGATAAAACTATATACATTTGATAACAAAATAGTTAGGGATAGAAAATGGGGATGAGAGCAGATTCTGAGATCATACTCTTGAATCCCTGTACTGTACTGCATGATACTATTTGTTGTGGCAGAAGATTCCAATCTATAACTGTTCGTGGATAAAATGAATATCTCATTGGCATCTCCCAGAAAACGTTTTACAGATGGCGACGGATATGTTCCAACCGTCGTAATCCCGTCCTCCTTTTTCCTGAATGTGACCTACTGAATTAGACTCATTAATTTCACCAGGTTTGTACTAGCATGAGCAGGGGCGGATCCTGGCTTTTTGAAAGGGGGGGGGCGTATTCATGATTTAAGTTCGCCTAACGGAGCGAGGCAAAAATTGTTTGGCTAAAAAACATAAAATAAGTGTAAAATGCATTTTATAGTTAAAGTGTAGGGGTTGGACATTTTTGGTGCCGTATTCTCTCCATTAATTATCTATTATAAAATGATTGGATAGATCCAAAGCTATGTACTAATTAATATATTTGATGTGGGATTTGTCAGTAAAAAAATGGACATGGAAAATTCTCGTTTGTTGTATGGTTAGTTAGCATAACCTCACATATTTCTTGTTGTAAACAAGATATATGGCTATTCAATGAATTTACAATTCGACCGACACGAAGAAAGACAAACAAGCAATTTTTATCCAAATGTTTGGTTGAAATGTTTCAACCAACAAGGGAAGTGAGGGGTTCCAAAACAACCAAAGGCTACGAATGAATCGGAAATGTTCGCAAAGTCTAGTCTGATTAATCATTTTACAAAAAAAAAGTGCAAGCAAAAGGGGGGGGGGGGGCGTACGCCCTCTACGCCCCCCTCTGGATCCGCCACTGATGAGCAACATGACGTGTACCACATGTGTAGCATGATATGCTTACCCTTCCGGAGCACCTGAGATCATCCTGTTTTAAGTGGGGTTCCTGTTGCTCAGTCTTTAGTTTTCTATGCTGTGTTTTGTATACTGTTGTTTGTCTGTTGGTCTTTTTCTTTTTTGCAATGGCGGTTTCAGTTTAGTTTTGATTTGTGAGTTTGAATGTCCCCTTGGTATCTTTTGCCTCTCTTTTTTACAGGCTCCTGACTTGGGACAGTGGTGTAAATGAACACCATAAGTACAAACTGTTAAAGTCAGCTTGAAATGGCTAAACTTATGAGATTGGCACGAAGCACAATCACAAAGAACATAAAGACAAAGGACAAATAAACTGCTTCACTAAGCGCAGCTGGATACGCCCGCAGAGGTCCAACCCTGAACAGTTGGGGCAAAAATGGACATAATATTCAAGCTTGAGACAGGTCTGAATTTGGATTGTCATTAAATATTTGACATATCATAGGTTTCTGAATAAATGTAGTCAAAGAACTTGAAATTGGTTATATGAATTGAATTTATCTTCAATTAAAGATTTCTTGCTGTTGTGCAATACTTAGTAAATCTGTTGTCAGACTATAAACAAATAAAGTTCAATTTCTTCTCAATGTCATATTTGAAATTTATGAAAATCAATAGGGAGAGTTACATCAATAGCTATAAATAATTCATCAAAGATTCATGAGAACTGCTGAAAGCATTTTTGAGTTATTGTCCAAAAACTGGAAAATCCCCCCTTTTTTAATGAATAAAACCCCATAACTCAGAAATGTAAAATCTAAGATTTATAAAATTCTAAAGGGAGCTTACATCAACAGATATAAACAATTCACCAAAGTTTCATGAGAACTGCTGAAAGCATTTTTTAGTTATTGTCTGAAAACTGGAAAATCCCCCTTTTTTTATGAATAAAACCCTTTAACTCGGAGACGTAAAATCTAAAATTTATAAAAATTGAAAGGGATCTCATGTCAATAGATATAAACAATTCACCAAAATTCCTTGCAATTTGGTGAAAGCATTCTTGAGTTATTGTAGGAAAACTGGAAAGTCCCCCCTTTTTTAATGAATAAAACCCCAAAACTCGGAAACAGTAAATCTGGAACTTATAAAAAACGAAAGGGAGCTCACGTCAATAGATATAAACAATTCACCAAAGTTTCATGCATATTGGTTAAAGCTTTTTAGAGTTAATGTCTGACATGTTGACGACAGACGGACGGAAAGACGGTCAACAATATACCATAATACGTCCTGTAAACGGACGTATAAAAACACTGAACGTACTAGTTCAAAACCAACTACAACTATGATAAATAAATTATGATATACCAAACGTATCAAAAGTATCAATCAGTTTTCATAATATGTCTCTAGGTTTTTTTTGCAGTAAAGTCAGGTGTTTGTTGTTAATGTGGTTTGTTGTGCTGTGTGGTATTTTTGGCCATTTGTGTTATCCCTATGCATACTAGTTCAAAACCAATTACAACTATAATAAATAAATAATGATATCCCAAATGTATCAATCAGTTTTCATAATATATTTCTTTACTGATTGTTGGTCTTTAATGCCACTTCAGCATTCTTGGCTTTTATATATATACTTTTATATTTTTTTTTTGTAGAGGAAGCTGGAGTACCTGGAACGTGGAGAAAAAATCAAACGTCCAAGGATATCCACCAATCCTTGTTACTTGAGATTGCAGTAATTGCAACTTGCCACTAGCAGTGTTCAACTTACCTCATTTTTGAACATAAAATATGACAAAAATTCCTAATATTTTATTGGAATGGACACTTGGTCTAGTATTAAAACACCTCATTTCCATGGCCAAACCAACTTTTTATTGCAGTAGCGGATCCAGGGGGGTTCTGGGGTTTGAACCCCCCCCTTTTTTTTTTTACGATCAGCGCATTTGAATGGGGACATATAGTTGGAACACCCCCTTTATCCTGGGTTAGGAACCCCCCCTTTTATAAATGGCTGGATCCGCCCCTGTGCTGGTTTTATATCCTATGTCATTGCATATCTCAATTTATCGATATCTACAACGTAATACATGTAAGAATCCACATTTAATTGTATAATAATATAAAACACATAACAATTACAATGTTTCATTTTCAACATGATAAATACAGATTGGATCACTGCATCCAAAAAGATAAATTATGTCACTGCAGTCTAAATTTTGAATTCATGGCATTTACATAAATATAGGCTATAGTGTCTTGATTACAGATATTAAGAATGTCGATAATTCATATTATAAACAATACTGTGAATTCACTTATTTTCCATGGTCCATTGTACCAGTTTTCATGGTTTTTTCCAGAGCTTATACATGTAGAAAATTTGAACTTTGTTGGACACTTAAATTTATGGTTAAAGTACATACACACAAAATCCACTAAAACTGGTAACATAAATAATAATACTGAATCCACAGTACAATTTTTAATTCCATCCCTCCATCCACAATAGAACAAGCATAAAGTGGACAAAATTTCTACATGTGCCAATCTTCTAGATACAACATCATACTTTACACTTTCATTTTAAGAACTAAATATACTTTACGGTAATTGCTTTTAGAAAAACATGTAAAGCTGTTTAATTAATTTTTTTTACAGGCAGGATGAAATAGGCCTAGTGTTAAAAACCTAAGATAAAACCGCATACATTTAAAAAAATTTGTTCAAATACAGTTTGCATTTGGGATAATTGTCCATGAGACAGCAACCAAGTAACACAAATGACCACATAAGACAACCAGAGGTCAAAACACAAACTTTAAAACAGGTGTTAGTTTTCCATCAATCGCAAAAAAAGAGAAAAAAGTTATATCCTTTACAGTTTTATGACATTAATAATATTCAAAAACACTTTATAATTTACATAAACATTTTAAGCTCTTAAAAATAAAATGAGTTATCGTAATCAATTTCCTTCACTTCAATGATTTTATAAGATGTTACTCTTAAGATTCATACTTAGTACAGTAAATTCAGTAACTTTTGTGATGTTTTCTAATTGCCAATTTGCAACTGGATAGGTTAAGCAAAAGTTTGCAGCTTTGATAGCATTTTTTGTATGCAACATTTCCTTAAATCACAATAAAACCCCCATTAGTGTCAGATTATATTCACTGTGACAATAATAAATGCACAGATTTTTCTTGGAATTTAGTTGTGGTGAAATATTATTTGTGAATGCATAGTTTCGGAAGAGAGTAATCAGACACTGCAGAGTGAATCACCCAATATCATCGGCAAACAAGAATGTATCCATGGTACACGGATACCCCACTCACACTATCATTTTCTATGTTCAGTGAACCATGAAATTGGTGTCAAACTCTAATTTGGCATTAAAATTAGAAAGATCATATCATAAGGAACATGTGTACAAACTAAGTTTCAAGTTGATTGGACTTCAACTTCATCAAAAACTACCTTGACCAAAAACTTTAACCTGAAGCGGGTCAGACGGACGGACGCACAGACCAGAAAACATAATGCCCCTACTACTATCGTAAGTGGGGCATAAAAATAATCTCAACTACTGTGGATTTATTTTCGTGGGTAACAATTTTCATGGAATGAGGAAAACTTGCATTTTCGTGGATATTTGATTTCACAGTTTTGCCAAAGTCTGCATATATGCATAGATTAAAAATTTGTGATTCGTTGAACATTTAAATTCGTGTTTCACCTGTACTCACGAAATCCATGAAAAGTGACATTCAAGGAAAAATAATGAATCCCCAGTAAATGATCAATTCCTTTGCTTGCACCACAATAATTATTGAATGACTAATCCAAGAATTCCGATATATATATACATTTTGTATATATGGAAAACATTCAACCAGTGATCGATTAACCCGTTAATTTGTGTGAATGTGCCTAGCTTACGAGTTAAATTATCAGTGTTGTTCAGTCTTGAACTGAATATTTTTTTTTTATATTTGAATTCTTGGATAAGTTATTCTTTTTATTACATTGACCATGTACCACCTATTGTTGTATGCAATTATCAGATTTATTTCATATGTGAAATAGTGAAATATTTCTACAGCATAAAAAAAAGAGAACAAAAGGCAACCAAACAACACAATGATGTAAGTCTTCCAATGAACACATGTATTTTCGCCTGTTGTCTCAAATATATGATTAGAAATAGTTATCTCCGTTTTTGGTATGGGCGGCCCCAAAAATAATTTCGATCAAAAATTTAAATAACAGGTAAAAAAGCCCCAACACCCAAAACATTGAACTACATACTAATTGCTAAGTTGCTTTTTAGACCCAAAGAAATCTTTTCATCGAAGTGCCTTCAAAGACCCCTAAGAATTTTTCTGAAAAAAAGTATATATACATGTCTGTGTTCTACCTCCATTTCCAAAAACAAATTTAAAGGGTTGTTCAGTTGGAATTTTCTTTTTGGGGTATAACAAATTCGACTGAATAAATGTGAGGACATAAGATTCATAGAGGTAGTCTAAATGCTTTTTCTCAAGATATTTTGTCAAGGCACTAAAATTTTACGATTTGACAATCAAGCATATGCATAGGATTGGTTGTTTAATAGCTGGGAACAGACATATATATATATATATATTTTGGCTTTAGTAATATCAACAAAATTTATAAATTAGTTTGTAAAGAAAATTTTCTTTACTGACTTACAAAAATGTAAGTACAGTATTATATATATTTCATTCATTTGTTCATCATGTTCTATTTTAAATAATGGCAGCCATATTGAATTTATTTGATTTTCTTTATAAATATTTGAAAAATGTGACAAGCTTATAAAAATTATCACAAAATTCATGAAATGTAAAAATGCTTTCAAAACTTTTATATGAAAATGAATTAGTCGTGAATATAAATGATTTTTTAGTTAACAGTTCTAATGCGATGCGCACTGCACTCGCTGTCCGTGTGGTCCCATTTCATCATCATCATCTTCATCATGTGCATTTCTTTGTCTGCTACGTCTACGGTCCCTTGGATTATAGTCTTCAAGGTCATGTTCTTCTGCATCGTCAGGAATTATGACCTCTTTTCTTGGAGGAAGTAAACTGTCCAGTTGTGCTAATTTGGGTGGCGGTAAGAAATTGTTCTCTGGAAATTTCACTTTAAATTTTATCACTAATCGTCCTTTTTCGAATGGATCACGTTTAATTGGCATACCTTCATTCATGACACATTTGATTTCTTTGTCTTTAATAACGTCCCCTGAAAAGTCAAAACATTTGCAGGTTATATGTAAATATAAGTTTGCACCCTCCCTAACCTAAAATCCTGGATCTGCCCCTGTAAAGGGACATAACAAGAGAACTGTAAAAGTGACGCCACCCAAAATCGAACTTGATCTTTGTTTTATGGTAATAAGCATTGTGTATAAGTTCCAAAACATTTGGTTTCAGCAAAACTAAAGTTAGAGAACGGAAACAAAAAATTCTGCAATTTTTCTATTTTTCAGGATTGGTAAAATAACCCCACCCAAATTCGAGCTTGATCTGTGTTTTGTGGTAAAAAGCTTTGTGTATAAGTTACATAACAATTGGTCAAGGGAAACTAAAGTTAGAGAACAGAAACCAATTTCGGGATGTACGGACGTTCAGACGGACAAGGGTAAACCTTAATGTCCCCTCTGCTACGGCGGGGGCATAATAAAAAAAAAGCCCAAATTACAGTCTATAAAATACTGCTGTAATCTAGACATTTGACCCAGTGACCAGATATCAATAGGGGTCTTTTTAATACCAAGGCAAGTGATCCATAAAAAAAAGGTAAAGATATGAATTTATTGTGTTGATAACATTCTATTTCTTTTAAAGAGACACTTTTAAGCAAAGTCGGATTAATGTTGGATATATAGATCAAAAGATTGCATATGTAAATTTTTTAACACATCAATTTCTGTCTTTCAATAGCTACTGTGACCTTGACATATTGACTCTAAAATCATTGGGATTTTCTCCATTCCATCATTGTACATAGGGCATAAATAAGCTGAGTTTGGTAAAAGTTGGAAATACGATAACAACTTGAAATCAAATTTATTCCAAAACTTTAATCAATCAATGGCAACTGTGAGCTTGACCTTTCAACCCAAAAAATCAACAGGGGTCTTCCTGGTCAAATATAGATTATCAAACCAAGTTTAGTAAAAGTTTGACATATGGTTCAAAAACTACATCAAATCAAAATTTGACCAAATTTCTCTCAATCAACAGCTGCTGTGACCTTGACATTTGACACATACTATATATATGGCCCAGTGAAAATATAGAACGTAGTGGGAAAATTGTGGAATCAATTTGAAGTTTGGCAAAAACTGAAATGTATGTGTTAATAGTTTCCTAATGGGGCCAAAAATTCAAATTAAAATTGTTTGATGTTGCCTACCTACCCACCTAAAAAGCAGCCTACCCCAAAAAATTTAGGACACAAATAGTTTCAAAATTTTTTTTTATGCTCTTGTGTTGCTTTCATTGTCTAAAACATGTACATGTAACATATGTTATTGGCCAAAAAAATAATCCCTACCTACCTACCTACCCAAACAAGGCATGGTTAGGCAACATCAAACAAAGAATTTTTTAAGGGTGGCCTAATGTTGATAATTGAAAAATTACTTGCAAATAGTGAAAGATCCAGAGAGTGGTATGTATAATACAATAGATATAAGAAGATGTGGTATGAGTGCCAATGAGACAACTCTCCATCCAAGTCACAATCTGTTAAAGTAAAGACTATAGTTGTTAACTTCTATGTCATTTGGTCTCTGATGTAGAATTGTCTCATAGGCAACCATATCACATCTTCTCATTCTCCTAAGTAACTCGGAACTTAAAAACACAAAGATCCAGAGAGTGGTATGTATAATACAAGACTATATTTGTTTACATCGTTTGGTCTCTGATGTAGAATTGTCTCATAGGCAACCATATCACATCTTCTCATTCTCCTAAGTAACTCAGAACTTAAAAACACAATGATCCAGAGAGTGGTATGTATAATACAAGACTATATTTGTTAACTTCTACCTCATTTGGTTTCTGATTTAGAATTATCTCATTGGCAATCATACCACATCTTCTTATTCTTATAAGCAACCCAAAACTTAAAAACACAATATTTTTCAAAAAAAATATTGACCTACTCTTTTTTCTTATAAATAAAGTATTTTGCTTTAGATGTCTTTTGATCATTTTTATCACTATGTTGCTGTCTCATTGACATTAACTTTTCTTCATACAGTTGTTAACTTCTACTTCATTTGGTCTCTGGTGGAGAGTTATCTCATTGGCAATCATACCACATCTTCTTATTTTTATATGCTTACCAGGTAAACTTGTGATAACTAATGTTCTATCATCTAAAGTTTGTACTGTTTTTTGAAATCCACATAAAGCTTCCACTAATTCTATTTCCATTTCTGTAATTAGGTCAATGTCTTGCCGCTGGAATCGGTCATGCTCTTTTTCGTCTAATACAATGATTATGTCCCCTGCTTCTAACCCTGGCTCCTGGTCACCTTCTCCTGTGAATCGGATATTTTCTCCATCTTTCATTCCTTAAATTAAAGTCAAATACAATTCAAGTTCTATAAAAATGCAAGTTTTCATAATATAGATTGGCAATTCATTTTTGATGCCAAAAAAAAAAAAAATACAACTTTTTATTCCACTTGTTGTTGTAAACAAAATTTATAGAAATTATGCTTCTCCAAAATTTGATCTGGATTTACACTATTCATCAGTAAATTCAGAAGTTTTTGCATGCATTTATTATTGTCATAGTTGAATAATGGACCAAAAATGATGATTAATTATTGAGATTTTAGGAAATGCTAAAATGCAAGTTTTTATTTTTGCGAAACTTGTGTTAATTTCAAGTCCACAGTGGCAACCTTTTCTTTAGGGTGAATTTTCTGACAAATTTGAGAAAACTGGTAAGTAGTAACAGGACTAATAGTCTACTTGAATTCGACCATGTTGGCCATGGATGTCATATTTGTTTTCAGAACTGTTTATATAGACATTATGGCACAAACATGAAGAAACATTATGGAATCTACACTTTCCATAATTTCATGCTTGTAGTTCTGTATCATCAGCAATGCAGCTTGGCATTTGAATAGGAGAGAAAAAATGAAGATTATAGAAGTGCAAATTTGTTATGTGTCATGTTCATACCAGCATTCAACCCAGGTGAGCTAAAATAATATTCATAAGGCCAAGTAAATTTAATTAGTAGATTTTCATCCAAATTTTTGAAAAAAATGGGGTGGGTGGGAGGATTTTATTTTTTATTTTTTATTAGATATGAAACGCTCTTGTGACGTGTTCTTCATATATGCAAGTGTAATAATAAGGTTCTATCACGTATATACATGTATAACGAATCAAACATACAAAGAAATGCAAAAACCAAAATTTGAAACAGGAAGTTATTAATGAAACGAAATTATCGACAGTTACCAGTAACGAAAATGAACAAAATCCGGAAATCGTAAATTTTTCAAAATAAAACAAGAGTGCACACGCTGAAATGTCTCGCCTTCTTTACTAATCATTGATATTATGTTGATAGTCCTAAATATAAAGCTTTATTACAACTGTCACATAAACTTAACATTAACCAAGTGAACTAAACATTGACCAATGAACCATGAAAATGAGGTCAAGGTCAGATGAACCATGCTAGGCAGGCATGTACAGCTAACAATTCTTCCATACAACAAATATAGTTGACCTATTGCTTATAGTTTAAGAAAAACAGACGAAAACACAAAAACTTAACACTGAGCAATGAACCTTGAAAATGAGGTCAAGGTCAAATAAAACCTGGGTGACTGACATATAGATCATAAAATATTTCCATACACCAAATATAGTTGAACTATTGCATATAGTATTAGAAAAAAAGACCAAAACTCAAAAACTTAACTTTGACCACTGAACCATGAAAATGAGGTCAAGGTAAGATGACACTTGCCAGCTAGACATGTACACCTTACAATCATTCCATACACCAAATATAGCTGACCTATTGCATGCAGTATTAGAAAAAAAGACCAAAACTCAAAAACTTAACTTTGACCACTGAACCATGAAAATGAGGTCAAGGTCAGATGACACCTGCCAGCTAGACATGTACACCTTACAATCATTCCATACACCAAATATAGTAGACCTATTGCATACAGAATAAGAAAAACAGACCAAAACACAAAAACTTAACTATAACCACTGAACCATGAAAATGAGGTCAAGGTCAGATGACACCTGCCAGCTAGACATGTACACCTTACAATCATTCCATACACCAAATATAGTAGACCTATTGCATACAGTATAAGAAAAACAGACCAAAACACAAAAACTTAACTATAACCACTGAACCATGAAAATGAGGTCAAGGTCAGATGACACCTGCCAGTTGGACATGTACACCTTACAGTCCTTCCATACACCGAATATACTAGACCTATTGCTTATAGTATCTGAGATATGGACTTGACCACGAAAACTTAACCTTGTTCACTGATCCATGAAATGAGGTCGAGGTCAAGTGAAAACTGTCTGACAGGCATGAGGACCTTGCAAGGTACGCACATACCAAATATAGTTATCCTATTAGGCCAATTAAAATTAATTGATAGATTTTCATCCCCGCCCGCCCCTCTGAAAACGTTCCGCCCCAATTTTTTTTATTTTGAAAAAAATACGATTTCCGGATTTTGTTCATTTTCGTTACCGGTAACTATCGATAATTTCTTTCATTAATAACATCCTGTTTCAAATTTTGGTTTTTGCATTTCTTTGTATGTTTGATTCGTTATACATGTATATAAATGATAGAACCTTATTATTACACTTGCATATATGAAGAACACGTCACAAGAGCGTTTCATATCTAATAAATAATAAAAAATAAAATCCTCCCACCCACCCCATTTTTTTCAAAAATTTGGATGAAAATCTACTAATTAAATTTACTTGGCCTTACTTATAATAAGAGAGAATTTAACATTACAAAAAATCTGAACTTTTTTTTCAAGTAGTCACTGAACCATGAAAATGAGGTCAAGGACATTGGACATGTGACTGACGGAAACTTCGTAACATGAGGCATCCATATACAAAGTATGAAGCATCCAGCTCTTCCACCTTCTAAAATATAAAGCTTTTAAGAAGTTAGCTAACGCCGCCGCCGCCGCCGGATCACTATCCCTATGTCGAGCTTTCTGCGACAAAAGTCGCAGGCTCGACAAAAAATTGGGGCGGAACGATTTCAGAGGGGCGGGCGGGAATGAAAATCTATCAATTAATTTTAATTGGCCTAACAGCAATGGAAAATGAAGTTTGTCAATCAAAATAAAGCTGTATTTTATATAATTCTTTACCTTTGTCTATATGAACTTCCAGAATTTTTCTTTCTCTTGTGACCTTTTTACCATTGCAATGTTTACACATATGTTTTGGATCAATACTCTCTCCTTCCCCTCGACACTCTGGACAAACTGTCTGAATCTGTTGTACCATACCAGGAGCCAGTTGGTGTATTCTGACCTGCATCCCTGTTCCTTTGCAATTACGACATTTTCCTACAGCTCCTTCTTTGCCTCCACGACCTGTTTTGAATTAAAAAAAAAAATAAATTAGGGGAGGTTATCAGTGTTTGATCTTTCATAGAACTGCCCATTTTTCATGTAGAGGCATGTTGCAAAATGATGGAAGACCATGCTGAACAAACCTGATCCATTGACAATAGACAGTGTTAAATATTTGTCATTTTATGACATCAAAGAATTCTAAAAATTTTGTGAGGATTTAATTTTCAAATGTGTATACAAAATGTATTTGTAAATATAAGCAAGAAAGGTTTATGCTTTTTAGAGTAGACATGCAAATGCAAGAGCAGCCTGTGCAATCTAATCTCTTTCAGTGCAAGCTACATGTACTTTATACTTCCCGAAAAACTGACAAATTGTTTGTTAAGTAGTACATCATGACATATGTATAAACATGATAAATACATTTCTCTAATTCTTCGTCAATTTATCCCTTTCTGCACCCATTGTATAAAAAAAATTTAATCAACGTGTGGTTCGTTTGATCTCAGTTCTTCATTGGTTAAAATCCGATTATGACATCAAATTTTTTTGCTCTCCTCTGAATTTCCTATTGTGACGGCATGAAAAAAGGCGACCATGCCTGATGACGTCACATAGAAAGAACACATCTTGCCTGCGTATTGTTTGAAAATCATTAGAGAAACAGATTCCACCACCAAATCTCGTGTAATACGATATTTATCCACTCTCCAGAGTTAAATTTTAAATATTTAAAACGCTCGGCGAGCCTCATGTTTTAAATTTGAAAATTTAACTGTCTCGAGTGGATAAATATCGTATCACACTCGATGCAGTGGTAGAATCTATATAGATATATTGCATATAAAACTTCATCTAAAAAGCAAGGAGTCAACTCATTCATATTTTCTACATTTTTCATTTTGCTTAAATTATAAGGAGCTGTATTTCATATTGAATCTTCACATTTTCTACTTTTCAAGTTTTTCCTTAAAAAGTGGAGATAACTCATGCCATAATATTTTCTACTTTGACTTTACAGGGAGCTAACTCATTTCTTACCTTCACATTTACCACATATAACATTTTTCTGTAAAGCTAATTTTCGAGTAGCACCATTGTATAAATCTTCTAACGACACTTTCAATTGATGAACAACATCTTTGCCTTTCTTTGGTCCCCTTTGTCTTCCACCTCCACCAAAAAACATATCAAATATATCCATAGGGTTGTGGAAATCTGCTCCATGGCCACCGCCTTTAATGGCTTCTTCGCCACCCCTGTCATATGTTTCACGTTTTTTAACATCTGATAATACTTCATATGCCTGACTGATAGCTTTGAACTACAAAATAAAAATATAATCATACACAATGTTAAAATACCATTGAAAGGGTACTATTGAATAAGATCACTCAAGGTAATCTGATAGTTCCTAAGCCAAAAGCTGAGCTGTTTAAGAAATCTTTTGTTTATTCTCGATCAGTGTTATGGAATGGACTACCACACAAAATGCGTAAAGCTCATAAGACTTTTACTTTTAAACAAAGTATCAAAAAGTACTTAACACAGTCTGTTTTCTACAATGTATTATTTTGATTTGTATATTTTTTATTTGATTTGATTTTTTGATTTTTACTACATGTACCTCTTGAACAGTTTTATATCTTATCATGTTAATAATAATACATCGAAATACTTGACTGTAAATTAACTATATGTAAATATCTGTTTTTGATTGTATTGTAATTTGTATATGAGGGTCTCAGGGAAGATTAGTTTGTTGTAACTAACTGTGTTTTCCCTCTTCAAATAAAGAATTTATTATTATTATTAAGAATTCTGCATGTTTTTCAACAATCATTCGAAAGGTCCAAAAAGATGATATTGTCCATTCTTGTTTAACAGAGTTTTATTGGGTAGATTATCTAGTGAAAATTAGTGGTAAGGATTTCTAGATAGAAAATTTGCATGATCTGAGTTATTATTCAATTTTTGTTTAGATTTTAATTCTTTCTACCTCTATAATGTAAAAAAAAATATTGAGGTCAGTGTGATACAATGTGATTTCATCTAGTTGCCAATCTCTGCTATCATAAAAATAGTAAAAAGGATATTGCAATAAAATATTGCACAATACAACAGACAACACTAATTTTTGTTATGGATTTTTCACTGTTTCTATCTGGTATGGAAAATCCTTATTATTAAAAAAAAACAAACCTAAAGAGCATGGATTTAGAATGTTAGAATAGAGATTGCCCATCCATAAAAAGGTCCCAAGTCAGGATCAGGAACCTGTAATCCAGTGGTTGCTGTCTACAAATTTTGTTTGTTTGTTTCATTGTTGTGCATTGGACATGTGATATATATCAGGTCATTAGTTTTCACAATACAATTGTAAATATACGCCAAAGAGAGTTTTTATAGACACGTTAGTTTTAGATCCAAGACGGGAAAAGACTGGATTATCCACAAATGTGATATAATTTATATTTTCAATCTACAACTAAGGGAAGCAATTTAATCAAATCCCTGTGGTGCAAAACATATGAATAAAATACTTGATGTTAATTGTAAACTTATGCCAGTCAACTGGTAGATTTAAAAAAACAGAGGGTTGTCATACTTAGGCATTTTAAAGCTCACTATACATTTTGCTCATTGTGTAAACCAGAGTATCTGATAGCTACCTTTAATTGTTCACATCTTTATCCTTTTGTGTCAATGGCAAGTTGTCTCATTGCAATCATGCCACATCTCCTTATTTTCATATCAAGCCTACCTTTTCTCCTTCATTTGGATTTTTATCTGGGTGATATTTTAAGGCTAATTTTCTGTAAGCTTTCTTGATTTCATCTGGTGTTGAAGTAGGTTTCACTCCCAGGAGATCGTAGTAACCAGTTTCTTTCACCATGTTTTCTCAGTCTGAAACAAAATACATCCTAAATTATAATACATAAAATTGAGAATGGAAATGCGGAATGTGTCAAAGAGACAACAACCCGACCATATGCAGACAACAGCCAGGTACACTTAAATTATAAAACTGCAGAGACATGAAATTCCAGATATTAGCAACTAAATTTAATACCAAAAATTAGCACTCCTAGGCAATGTCTGTTTACGGTTACCCGACCGACCCCAAGTTATTTTATTTGCGTTGTTAAGTGAAAAATTTACTAAACTCATGTCAAAAGCAAAGTTAGAGTTGTCAATAAATCTAATCAATTGCCTGATATACATCCCAATGGTCACAATCATGAATATGACAGCTGTTTTAAGAAAACTCGCAAATTGTTTTAAAAAATAAACACTTTAACGCCAATCACTCCCTGTTTCCTTTAGTAGATGTAGTATTAAAAGTTTATAAGCCACTTATTTTTATTAACTAAAAAACTTGAAAAACTGCTTCGAACAAACAAATTGACTTCTACATCGACATGCAAAGCATTGAAAATATAGTCTATGCTGTCCATCGCGATTCAACATAGCTACATGTACAGTGTATCACCAAGATAGCGTCTAACACAATGTCACCATTGCACTTCAGCGTCAAACTATCACAGTTTGGAGTACCATCACGGTTCAGAGTCCTACATATTTATATACAATTATCGTATTTGAAATATTTACGACTGTTCTCCAATGATGAAAATGACAGATGGCTGTTATACGTCCAGTGTCAAATAAAATGCATATTCAGGATTATAACTTGTTTATAATGTGAAGTAAATATGAACCCGAGCTAAATTTTAAAGTGCCAATTCACAAGCCAACAGAGTATACAAAGACAATTAAGACACATCTTCCTCTCAGACATTCTTGACTCTAAAAGCAAACAAACCTTTGCTCCTACTCCTTAAAGCTGTATGCTTGGCGGAGAAGCAGCAAATATCTATTTTTTGGTTTCACCTGACCTGAATCCAACCAGGACCTCCCGCACTCAAGAGGAGCACACTTACATGAGATCACCAAGACAGTCACTGATCTTCGCATACCATTAGAGATTATAGTTTTCTATGTCCGACAAAGGGTTCTACCAGATAGGCGTGTGCTTATTCTACATGGACATACAACAGTTTACACTGACAACTGAATGAAAACATGTTTATAACTTCAAATGCAGCCTATTCTATTAACTTATTTCCATACTTAAACTTGAACAATGCTAGCTGGAATATTACATCCCCCTTTTTGTTACTAAAAATCAAGCTTTCCTTCAAATTTGTCATTTAGCCTAAAAAAGCAACCACTACGGAACTTTTAATAGAGATTTCTTGCTTAATTTACCTACCAAATTATATACGTACGTTTCTTCGAAGTCTAATAGCACTGATACTTCCTCCTCAAAGGCTCTATTTTCGATTTTATGAGAATTTTCTAGACGAACGTGCTTGTTGTATCGGAAGTGACGTCAGATGGATATTGAAGTCGCAATGGGTTCTGGGATGTAAACTAATAATCAGCGCCACTAACCTTTTATTTTGAAAGCGAAAACTTCTTTTATTTGTGATGACTGGTAAAATATCCTTCTTGTCATAAATTTTAGCTGTAAAATACTGTAAGAATACTTAAAAATATTTCAGAAAATGGCTCAAAACGGTGCAGAAAATGTCAATCTTTGTAATGTTCTGTTAGATCTTGCAAAACTGTGACGAGTATCGGCATGTTTTGTTTTGGTTTTGCAATTTTTACTGTTTGTGACTGCTTTGAATTAATCATGTTCATGCATGAATACACAAGGTTATATCAAAATAAAGATATGTTGCATACTCTTAGGTTTCTTGCATGTATACAAAAAGTTTTAAAATGTATGCAAGTTAGCAACCCTAAATAAATAGCCCAACACTGCAACAGGCAACAGGTTCTGTATCATGTATGTGTACCTTATTTTGATGGCAGTGTCTGCGCGTACCCGCATGTGGGTACGAATAGCCAAATTGCCGTTCGTAGGCTATGCGTACCAGCATCTGGTTTTATAATAAAATGCCATCGGATCGGGAATGAAACGTGAAATATATACGGAAATTATCGCAATTAGTGAATAAATTGATTAAAACTACTTAGAAGTTTCATAAATATTTATATATAGATAAGTGAACAGTTTTTCTCAGTTAATAAATATTCTTAAAACGGAAGAGAGTGATATACATGTGGGGAAGACATTTCAAAGTTATCACGAATAGGAACAATTTGTTCAAAACTATCAGTCGATTAATTTTATACAATTGTCTTCCATTTTACAATGTTTTAGGATATCATAGACTTTCCCGTAAAATTTTGATATTAGCAGAGAAAATGTCCTTATCAGGTTGGGGACGGTCATATGAACCCTTTTGAGAAGTAAATTATCCACAACCTGTCAATGTTTCAATTGTCATAATCATAATTCCATCCTCCTTTTCCCTGAATGTGACCTACCAAATTAGATAATAGTTGCGCTCTTTTAATTTAGCATGAAATCATTTTGTATTTTACAATTAACATGATTAAGTGTCTAATCTGATGAAGACAGTTTCATGCATGCATATTACATATTAAATAAACTTAAAAGCATATGTTTGACTTGTGAAACATTACCTTTTTAGAACTACGTAAATTAAATCAAGTTTAAATTTTTAAATCAGAATTGACAATTGTTTTTGCTGAACATGCTTTAAAGAAATAAAATAATGACATGAATGAAGAAAGTTGTCATGGAGTTTTAATAAATTTCTTTTATAATACGAATACAAATATTGCAAAATGTACTTCTGAGTTTGTGATCACTGTCAGGTGTAAATTAAAAACACAGGTGAAAAATGATTAGCGATCATTAGCCAATGTCTCATGGAGGCATTAATATGGTTGTTAGGAGGGCCCTCAGGATTATCACATACTTTACATACTGGAGTGGCAGTTTTATTACAGGAAAGGGATTTCAAAGCAAATGGCGATTGAATTAAGAAACCATGGAAACCCAACCTCAATGAAATGACCAAAATTATTTCTGTAAAAAAGTCCTAAATCCCAATCTGCCGTTTAGGTCATGACTGGCAAATATGACGGTTTCTGTACCCTTGATCTGCACATTCACTCAGATGTTTCTGAACTACTTAACAAACGCTCAAATGTAAAAAAAAATGTCTGATTCCACAAAGCAAAAGTGATTTTTGTGGGATGCAAAAGATCAAGTGGTGCGATTGTAGAAAACATATCTTGTTAAAATTAAAAAAAAACAAAACAGAAAATTATGACTTTCAAATGGGTAAAGTTACCATTAGTTGATTTTAATAAAGACAAAGTTCCGAAAATGTTTTTTTTTGGGATAAATTGATGATCCATAATTTTGATTTTAGGTCACTAGAGAAAAACCAGTAGAATGATTGAGAGTGTACAGATTCGCCACAGAGGGGCGATTGATTTTGACAGTCACTATGACAACCTCTGTGCCATGCAAGACTCATGTCCTCTTCCAGCTGTCAAAGCACATCTTCAACAGAATGTATTAGATATCAATGGAGATCGAGTCAGGTAATCATTTTACATAAAACATGTAAAAACAAGGAGATGTGTTATGATTGCCAATGAAATACATCAATTAAAACCTACTATCTACCAAACAGACTGAGGCCAAAATTAAAATTAAGTTTGTTTCCCCTTACCCGACCGACCCTCTAAAAATCCGTCGACTGAAATAATTTTTTTCAAAAATCACGTTGTTGTTTTTTTTTTTTCGTTTCGCTCAAAAGTTCGTTTTTTTAATTTTGTTTCCTTGAATGGTCCGTATTTTCAACATTCCGCGAAATCATTGTCGCCCGTGTGTTTGCAGCAAAGGGTAAACAACGTATGCAAGGATACTGAAATTGGAATGGAATAATGTTTTAAATAAATGCATCCGAGCAATCTTAACTACTCTTCCATTCTAGCTACGCCTCCAATAACAAAATGCGTAGCGAGAATGGCCGAGTAGTTACGATTGCGCATCCGAGCTCACCCTTGAGCTTAAATGTTAGGCCTGGTGTTTCTGCCGTGTTTGTGGTAAATCCCTGAGTTCGCCTTTATCAGTGGTTGACTCAATAAGTTGTATATTGGCGTGCTATTTATGCTATTTTGTTTCATTTCGTATGTGATATTGGACCATACACTAGTTGTCTTTGGATAAAATAGTAGTTGATTTTTTTCGAACTCAGTATCATATTGTGTTGTGAAAAGTCGAGATGACTATACCAGCTAATGCTTTGATAAAAGTTCTTGTAAGTTCTTATGTCTTTTATAAGCTATAATGGGCTGATGATTAAATATGGTCACACATTCAGGGTTTTGTGAAATAAGATGCCAGTGTTTCATTATTATATTTTTAGTTTCTGTATAGATGGGTTGAATTTTGTTAACATTACTAGCGGTTGTCTCATTTCGCTGGGCGATGTGTTAGCAAGTTTTCCCTTTCTGTATTTTGTGTTTGATAAAAAAAATCGTTGATTTCAGATATTTGATATCCTCGTTTGAGCTTCTTACTGTTTTTTAAGATCAGTTTTGCTGCTTGTTTTTCTGAGAAACCTCAATACTTCACCCTTGATAAATCCTTTCAATGAAAACACTTTTTGGGTGTGAGCAGTGTCTGTGCAGATATTGATATGTTTCAGTTGGTTTGATATTGGTTTTAATGTCTTGTATCATACTATGCCTTCGTTAAAGAATCTTTCTCCTTTGTATAATTATGACAGTGTCTAAGAATATTGTTTCATTACAGGAAAATTCGTAGGTGAACTTCAACTATCAATATCATTTTGTTTCTCTGTGTTGAAAGCGTTGTAAAATGTGTTCAAGAATTAACAAACATTGTAAGGTCTGCTAACTCAGCGAATACTGATCCGCACATAGACACGCCCAAGGTTTCATGGTAAAGTTTATTGTTAAAAATAAATTCATAGTTTTCTAGAATAAGCCTTAATAGGCGTAGTCATACTCGTTTGGATCACGGTTTGTGGCTTCTAGTATTTCCTTAAATGAAAAACAAGTGTACATATTTTTTGCATCGAATGTTACTAGGTAGCAGTCTCATTGGGGTTTTATATTTTCAATTGAATTAATAAAACTATAAGAAAAATATAGAACCATGTCTCAATTTATGTGTGGTCTACTCTAAGTCACAAAGACATTGATATTTACAAACATTTTCTAGTCTGAAATTGTAAGGTCTTCTAGTCATGCATATTACGTTATACAGTATGTTGTTTTAGTATCAATAAAGTTCAATTTGTTGTTTTTCTGTGTTTTCCTGTGTGTTAGATATATTTCAGGGATTTTCTCTAAAAAAAAAAAAAAGCCTACCTACCTACCCACTTCCAAAATGGTGGGTAGGGTAAGGGGAAACAAAGATATTTTTAATTGCGGCCCTTCATGGACAAGAATGTATACAACTACAAGTCACCATATGGCCTTCAATAATGAGCAAAACTCCCACTGTATAGTCAGCTATAAAGGTCCACAGAATGACAAGATGTATAACAATTCAATTGCCTAATACAGTCAGGGGTACTACTTGTACAAGTAATCTTTATTTACTTGAAGAAGTAAAAAAAATATTCTTATATAAGTTAATTATAATGTTTGAATAATCTCCCCTTAATTTTCTCAAAAATTCACTTGTAAAACTTTTTTACAATCCCACAAAAATTCTCAAGTTTTGAGATGTAAAAACATGCCTTTAATGATTTTTCCCAGGTTAACTCATAATTTTTTATTAGAGTTCAATGTTTCATCTCATCAATTCAACAAAGAAACTGAGTGCGCAAAGATATTAAGTATTTGCGCAAGGCCTTCAAAAATTGCTCCTTGGGGGCTTGTAAATGAGCAGTGTTCTGAACATAACAGACAAATGAAATTTTCATTGTCCATGAAATTACACTTAATTGATTAGTTAAGACATCTGCAAAGGACAGACAATTTAAAATTCTATTAGAGCAAAGAAGTCCTAAGAATTCATGAAAAGAAGATAGGATGACTTTTTCACTTATACAAGTAAAAAAATCTGAATGTCTAAGGGACATAACTAAGCCAATTTTTTTTTACATATGCAAGTAAATAAAATACACTTGTATAACATGTATAAGTATCCTACAAATTTACTTAAGTATATTAATATTACTTCTTCAAGTAAATAAAAATTACTTGTACAAGTAGTACCCCTGACTGACAGATTGAATAGAAAAGATCTGACAAAAAGAAATTCTCCAAATATTATTAAGATATGACACAAACACTGACAAGGTTTATGACTTCACACAGGCACATGAAAATATAGCTTAACTTTCCCCCATGTTTATCTCAATAAGTTGATGATTAACAAAAGGTACACAAAATATAATAAAAATCAATACTCACAGTACTCATGGTACTTATAGTAGAAGCACAACATTTGTTCAACAGAATGGCTTTTAAAATGTTGTTCAATTCTTTTTTTAATTGACAAAATCCTGAAAAATCACATTTTTCTCCATGCCTAGTTCTTATTTACACGTTTGAATATTTGCACCTGTAGGATGGATCTTATGCAATTTTAAATGCTATGAAAAACACATCTCTTGATTTGTCTTTAGATATTTGTGTATAAAATCCATGGGAAGAATATTATTTGAACTCTAAAATTAACTTTTACTATTGTTGTTTTTCAGAGTAACAGACTGGCAGCCAATATTAAACACACTTAAAATCAACAAAAGTTTGGAGTTTGTTGGAATACGTAGTTACTACACACCACCAAATGACGATAATGGTAATCTCTTATAATTCAAAGAGCACACATTTTCTTGGCTGATATTTTTAAGTATTATGCTGTAAAATTCAGAGAACACAGATTTTCTTGGGCTGATTCTCCAAGTATAATACTTTAAATTCAGAAATTATTGCGTGCCTTTATTATTGCAATTTTTGAAAAAAGGGACAAAAATGCTAGGTTTTAAATCATGTCAGTGACAGAGAACTGACTTCTGATGACAAAATAACCACTGCTGAGTTTCCTGACTTGGGACAATCATGATTGATTGATTGATTGGTGTTTAACGCCACTTTCAACTTTATTGTGCTATTTCGTGGCGGTCAGTTTTTATTGGTGGAGGAAGCCAAAGTGCTCGGAGAGAACCACAACCTTTGATAATTAAGATTGGAGTCAAGTGCACCTGCCACTCATGAAATTGTGGAGAGGTTTATAAACTTCTTTATGTTGTAATGTTTTCTCCTGGTTTACTAATATTCTGTTCAATTCATTCACAATTATTCTACAAAGGGCAATTTACATAAAATGCATGTCACATGAAGAAGATATACATTTAATATTGAAAACCTTATTGTAAGGCAAAAAGAACAACTAGTGTTTTATGAATCTTTCTCAGGCATCAATGTAATTTCTGCTTTGAACTTTTGTTCATTTTATAACTTTAATGCCAACATAATATTTTCTCAATTTGTTTTACAGAGAAGAAAGCCATTATTGAGAAGAGAAAGATGCCATCAATCAGGTCAAAAGAAATTACTTATAGGCTGTGTAAAGCATTGAAGGAATGTCTGAGTGTGACCCCTGCTCTGTCGTGCCTAGAGTTACAAGGTTTACCTTTGAGAGAGCGTGACCTGACTACATTGATTAAAGTGAGTCCCCCTGCTCTATACCACTAGTAAAATATCAATATACCTGACTACTTTTATAAGTTATTATTGGCTTTGAACTAGCAGTCAGTAACTGCAAGTACTCTCAGACCTTTTTTGATGTTAGGGATGTATAAATACCCTTCCACGCACGGTCTGTATTTTCTGAGATGTTTTCTGCTTTGTATTGATCTGATGAGTTAAGCCTTTTTCAACTGATTTTTATAGTTTGTTCTTATGTTGTGCTGTAACACCACTGTCCTAGATAAGGGATGGGTTGAGCGCTCACAAACATGTTTAACCCAGCCACATTCTTTATGTGCCTGTCCCAAGTCAGGAGTTTGTGGTTCAGTGGTTGTTGTATCACATCTGTCATATTTAAATTTATGTTTTGTAAATTGTTCTGTTATAAATTAGGCTGTTGGTTTGCTCAATTAAATTGTTTCATATTTTTCATGTCAGAGCCTTTTATAGCCGACTATATAGGTTTTCTCAATTAAATTGTTTCATATTTTTCATGTCAGAGCCTTTTATAGCCGACTATATACGGTATGGGTTTTTTCATTGTTGAAGGCTGTACAGTTGCATATAATTGCTTTCATCCATTTCATTTGAACTTTGGTGGATAGTTGTCTCATTGGCAATCGTACCAAATTTTATTTTTATACTGAAATTTTATCATTTAATATATATAGAACATTTTGTTGAGAATAACCATCTGACTGATTGGCTATGGGAAATAACACTTAAATCAATATTGCATTTTGTTTAGGTAGTTTAAACGATACTTTTTAAGCATTCATTGGTAACAGAATTAAAGTTAGGCCAGCCTTAAAAATATGTTTGTTTGCAGTTTTTCCGACTGTACCTTCAGACTGAAGGGTCGGTAGGTAGGAAAAATATTTTATTTTATCAGCCAAAATGAAGTTTAAACAAGCAGTTACACAAACCAAGTTTCTTGTGAAGAATTTTTTTTTTAAAACAACAAACGCTGAAAACCAACATGAAATGAACAGGCATTTTCAGATAAAAACTTTTCAACCAAAATTGAAACTATAACACGGTGTGATTATCCAATTTATGACATTATTAAATACTAGTACTGGAACACTTATAAGATCTTATAAACAAGGAATGACTAGAATTGTTTTAAAGAAATTGTTCACTGACATATGCTTCTTTACTAGAAAGTTTTCATGAGTAGAGTATTTTCATTAGGAAAATGTAGATATCAAAGATTCATAAGACAATGTAAGTGTGTTATCAATAAAAAAAAATTAACCATTGAATCTTCCTCAATTTAAAAAAAAAAAGGCAACTTGAAAAAGACATCTGACTGTTTTCATAAATCTAACAATATCTAATTATATGTAATAAGGTTATATTTTGAAAGATATGTTGATGTGATCAGGCTTTAATTTAAACCAAAAAAATCTTAGACTTCGGGGTGAAATCAATAGCACCCCTTTAAAAGTAAATGGTCTGTACTGAAATGTTTTGACTGCATGAAAAAAATTGGCAGCATAGCTCCTAAGGACATGTTTTAATTCAATTCACACAAGCCACACTGTTTGGGTATATCTAATATTATAAAAGGGAGAAGAATTGCAATGAGTGGGGTAGCTCCCCTTTTCCTAAAGGAGCATACTCATTGCAATAGAAGATAGATTTAACATAGAGAAAGTATATTTATTTTTACAAGCCAACCATTCATTTTCTTTACATCTTTGTGTAGTTTCTGTGGCTTCTTATAGTTTTGGCATTGTCAATCGATAATAAATTTCAAATGTGCCCTCCCTGGCGTGTTTACAGGTATCCATGAAGTCATGGAGAAGTGGTTTCATCCTTGTTGTCTTCACAACGTTTTATAGAAACTATGGCATACTTCAGGCTGCTGTCAAATTCTTTAACCACTGATATTGGTTCGATAAAGTCAGGCTCAAGAGATTCTGTACCCGATCTGTTTGAGATGGAAACGGTTATCGTGTCGGTTTTATGAATATCCGCTGCATCATGCATTCTCAAATCGTCAATGATATATGTCTGAATCTGCATAAACAGTTTACTATTAAACTTTTTTGGTTGTTATTTGTTTTTAAATTGACAGAAAACGACAGCGCAAAGTACTCCTCCATGTCTTCATCGATACCTGTAAACAATCTCCATGTGCTTTATTATTAAACGGTCCCATGTACGCTTGACAAGAAGGTAAGAAAAACCGAACTTGAAACGTGTAATCGACCCAGACTTTAAATCAATTCCAGAAACGACCAGAAGTTCCGGATTGCGTCAATAGAAAAATAAAAATAATTTCTTCAAATTAAAAGCAATAAAATTTTCACAGTCGGGCGGATTTTCAAGGGTCGGTTGGTAAACTGCAAACAAACAATATTTTAATTTAAGCCTTATCTGTTTTGCTTTAATAAAAGATTAGAATATAAACTTATATGAAAATGGTTCACACAAAAGTGACCATAATTTTTAAGAATTCTCGTTTCTCTCGATGTGCAATATCTTAAAGAATATAGTTGATTTTTTTTAATTCAATGATTTTACAAGATCTGATATAGAATTTAAGTTGGTCAAAAACAAAATATGTCTGTTTTCCACTTCCTGACTGACCCTAAAACATATTATTGCCTCTCCAAACAAACTATTAAAGAAATAGCAATGTGTGTACACAGACCATATAAATTTGAGAAGGGACAATCATGATAATGATACAATATGAACCTACAAAAAATAGAGTTGTCTTTCCTCCTGCTAAAAAAAGTGGTGAAGCTGAGTTGAGTAGTATAAAATGACAAATATGAGTTACTATAAATTGGTAAATTTCAGGATTGAAATGTTTTTGTTAATTTCACAATTTAGATTGAATTGCTTAAATGTTGCATAAATTTGATTTTGATGGGAGATCAGACTGAAAAAAAAGAAAAGTAAAGGGGGAAATTAAAATATTTTAGATAGATTTTTGGTCCAGTAGCTATAGGGTGTTTATTTATCTTGCTGGCCCCCTTACATTTAGACAAAGGTTGATGCAATATAACAGAAGATAGAGACTTGTAATTATAAGACTTATTTAGTAAACATTTAAGCATCTGTGTAAAACTGCCTGATATTTTCATCCTTTTCTTACTGCATTCAAAGTTCAATTACATGTGGCTAAAATTGACTGGTTTTTCAAGTGCTGTGATTAACTTCAAGGTATGTAGGTTAATGTTATTATCTTCAATTGAGAAATAATGCATAAGTAATAGAGGTAATACTGACACAAAGAGGTCTCTATAAACACAATAGTTCCAATGGAACTTTCGTTAGTTGAAGTCATATTAATAATTGTATGTGTATCAGCCAAAAAATTATGTTTAACGCTAATTTTTACATACTCATTTTATTTGCAGGGATTGGCAAAGAACTCAACATTGAGTCATGTATCATTTGAGTTCTGTCGTATTGGAGATAATGGATTAGATAGTGAGTACATATAAGTATCACATGTTCACTTACGGATGTTGTCATTCGGGTTTAGAATTTTTTATTTAGATGTTCGGACTCCTTGGGTTTATTCCTACAATACAAGGTAAATTATTTTGCCCTATATCACCCACTTTTCTTTTCAAGAAGACTTTAATAGCTCATATGATTTGAGACCTAAATAATGCCAAAGCTAAATATAAGGCCTTTTCCCGCCATTTAAAAAAAAAATATCTCGAAAAGGAGTTCCATAAAATATCAATATTTTTAGCTTATTTTGTTCCTTAACTAATGAATGCTATTCTGATTTATAGTATCAATTTTAAATTCTAGATTTTTATACCCCAGCTTTAAAAAAGTGGGGGTATACTGTTTTACCTCTGTCTGTCAGTTCATCCATCCGTCCATCTGTCAATCCGTCCGTCCGTCCTTCCCATTAATATTTTTCGTTCCATCTTTCTCAGGAACTACACTACAAGGATTTTATGAAATTTGGTTTCAGTGTTTATATAAGTCAGCTATACTGTGTGATGCGTTTTCAGATTCATCACTCAACAACTTCCTGTTTACCGTCAAGTATTTGGGCTAGGGGTATCATCAGTGAGCAGTAGCTTACAGTTTCACTTGTTTTAATTTCACCTGACTACATCCTTGAACACTGTGCTTTAGATGCTGTGAATTTAAAAGAAATATATCCTATATGACATTTTAAAACAAACTTGAAGATATATCTACCTGTCATACAGTTTTAATGCTTTAATTAATTGAATTGCTGTTTCTGAATCTTCGACACTTGACGTGAGATTTTGTCACATTTGAACACTTGTATTGTTGCATTAGACATTTTACTCTAATGACCTCAAAATTTTACAAGAAATTTCTGTCCTGGCCACAAATAGCAATAAGGTGTATCCTGCATTGTGGCATCTGAATATTTATTTTTGGTGATTTTAGCTTGTGTTTACTTGATTTGATCATTATAATTCTGCATTCAGTTGTGACATCATCATGTTACATATAAATTCTGCCACTGCAGCAAGTGTAATCAATATTTCTCCTCTTGAGACATACAACAACGAAAAGCTCATGGTCCTGATAACTGATCCTGATCCTGATCCTGATCCTGGTACACAATGGGAAGGGGTTATACCAGTTTTATGTGTGCTTAAGGATGTTCGCTACTCTGTTTTAAAATAACAAGCTTTTTAAAAGACTGTTCTAAATTTATAGTATATAAATAAAGGAACCAAAAAAGCAGAAAAAAATGAAGGGTCCGTGTGCTTGCTTTTGAGATATAAGCCATTGAAAATTTGGCGGGAAATGATTCTCTCTAGATTTTTCATACTTTTAACATTGTCCGCTTTCTCTTTTAAAAACTATGAAAAAATAACAAGGATTTTATAAGATTTTCAAATATGGCTTTTAAAACTATATGAAATAAAATTATGAAAAGAAAAGTAGGGGTTAGTGGACAAAATTATTTAATGGCAAAACATGGATAAAACCAGAGGATTTCCGAAAATCTGGCAAAATTTCAAAAACAAGAGGAGCGAACATCCTTAAGCCTCTCTCATCGCTTATTTAGAACGTATGTAAAAAGTAAAACACACGATGAAAAACATACACATACAAACTGCATCGAAATATATCATAAAATAAACATTGTTAAGAGGCAGAATACAATCCTTAGAAAAAGGGGCCTAATTATTTCAACTACTGTATCACTAGCCTGTCAACACTTAGGTTGTGAGTTTGAACCCCACACGTGGCAGGTAAGTTTAACTCCAATCTTTATTGACTAGGATTTTAAGTTTTCCTGCTGAAGGTCATGATTCTCTCCAGACACTCCAGCTTCCTCCACCAATTAAAACTGACCGCCTCCATATAGCCAGTGCTGAAACTGGCGTTAAACACCCAATCAATCAATCCAATAAATAATTGTTATTTTTGATTTAATGTTTTTTTATTTCAGTTCTGTGTAAAGGAATAAAGAACTCAACCACAGTAAATTCTATCAACTTTACTGGATGTAGTCTGACAGCAAAAGGAGCTGATTCATTAGCAAAAGTGATTAAGGTAAGTTCACTTTACAGGCTGTATGTAGTCTGACAGCAAAAGGAGCTGATTCATTAGCAAAAGTCATTAAGGTAAGTTCACTTCACAGGCTGTATGTAGTCTTGACAGCAAAAGGAGCTGATTCATTAGCAAAAGTGATGAAGGTAAGTTCACTTCACTGGCTGTATGTAGTCTGACAGCAAAAGGAGCTGATTCATTAGCAAAAGTGATTAAGGTAAGTTCACTTCACAGGCTGTATGTAGTCTTGACAGCCAAATAAGCTGATTCATTAGCATAGATGATTATGGTAAGTAAAAATTGCAGGCTAGTGATAATTGATTAGCTGGAGTATTGACCTTTCATAGACAATATAGGTAAACCATTGCAATAATGTCAAACCTGCATATAAAGGTCATCATTGAGACCAGAGAAAACTGACCTTATAAGAAAAGTGACCTTTGAAATAAGGTTCAAATTGCATAGGTATTAATACAGCAGGGTAGGAAGATAGTGCCCTTACAAGACAGGTTTTCGCTTAATATAGGTTTGACTGTACTGTTTATCTTTTGCTGATGAATGCCTCCCTGTGTCTTTAACGTAATTAGTTTGAATGCATATATATATAAAATGATTAACATGAATAAAGACAACCTGAATGAACAATGCATAAATGAATATTGACATGAGTGAACAATGATTTGAAATGAGATGAATTAGTAATGACCTGGTTGTTTAATGACACATTTTTCTTGTACCTCTTAACTACGGTACATACTGTTTAAACAATTAGGGAAACTTGAAACTAAAGCCAAATCTTTGATATTGATTCATCATACATTTTTATGATACCAAGTTATTACGAAAAGACATAAGACTAAGTCAGTCTCAAGTTTTAGAAAGTCAAAATATGCGCCATTGCTTGATATATTGTAAAGAAACCTGACTTTTGTTGAAGCCTGTATCTTTCCCTTTAGATGTCCTTTTGTTGATTGGTTGCTGTCTCAATAACATATTCCTCCTAGCTCCTTTTATTCGTACTGTGGATTCATTTATTTTCGTGGGTATCAATTTTCGTGGATAGAGAAAAAAAGGCATTTCGTGGTATACGTAAATTCGTGGATTGCTGATTACAAAAAAAAAAAAAAAATCAGATTCGTAATCGTGGATTTCTTTTTGATTTAGGAGATTATATATTCTCCTTGGTTTGATCAATGATAAAACAAACAAAAAAGAAGGAATTCATTGAAAAAGTTTTGAATTGTCAAAATCCTCGCTTGGTCATTCTAGGTTAAAGTGTTTTACAATAATGGACAGAGACAACTAATTATTTGTTTGTTTTACAATTTATAAATTCTTGTCGGAATTTTATAAGGCATTCAAAACTCTATGATTTCCATTTCCCTAATCACGATATAATAAACAGTCATATAAGTAAAAGGTGTGAAAATAAATGTTCCTGTCATCAACAGTATTACCTACGGGCAATATCCCCGTATTTAATCCTATTGATTTTTAATCACCAGTAAACCAAACTATGACACGATAATTAACAACTTGCAGTTATTTTCCATGAATAGTTTTAATCAATTTTAAAAAGTAAATTATCACTGATATTCATATTTATTATTAATTTAATCAAAATACTTGTATCTTCTTTCAATAAAAACATGTGTTATGTTACAATGTTTATCGCTAGTCAACACTATACTAGAACTGCATAACATAAGCGGAAATAAACATCCCGACTCCATACACATATCTCGGGATTATTCTTCGTTGAATTCTTAAATTCGTGGTTCGCTGTGACCCACGAAACCCACGAAAATTGGTATACCACGAATAAAAACGAATCCACAGTATTGCTAATTGTTTGTCTGCTGTGCGGATATGGTAAAATGAATCCTTGTAATTGGGTGTATGTGCCTATATTTTTTACTAAACTAAGAGAGACAACTCTACCTTTAAAATTAGTAACCAGTAAAATTTAGTTAAAGACAACTTACCCTGATTATTGTTTTTTTTAAAGTGATTGTGGGTTTCTAGTAGGGAGAAATGAAACTACATTAAGTAAAAAAATAATATTTTAGAAGAAATTTATACATTATTATAGATAGCAATACATTTGGCTGCCCTTCTGAAGTCAATTAGAGTGATCTCCCCTCCTGTGTAAAAGTGGTTTACTGATTTGAAACAGTTCATCACTTTCCTCAGAACTTTGTTTTTCCAAAACCCATTTTTTCTGAGATTTCTTATTCACAGTTTCATTTGATAAATTCATTGAGCATATGGGACTTATTGAAAAGTTCTGATCAGAACTGTTGGTTGATTCTGTAAAAGGGTTTTTAGATAATATTGATGTTGTTTGCAGTTCATCATTCTCTAAAGAGTTTGAATCATAATCCCAAGGAATAGCACTGTTGAAACGTTCAGCTGAATGTGAATTTGTAATGTGTTCATGTTCAGTCATATAAGTGCTTGAGTTATCATTGTACATTGAATAATCAGTCAAACACTCTGAGGATTGAGATTGTAAACATGGTTCCACATCAACTTTTATTGTGAGTGATTGAAAATTAAGACTCGGTGACGAACTTGAATACAAGCTGTTCGATAGTGAAAAGTTATTAGAATGTTCCCGTGCCGTGTCCAAACCACAATATTCAATTCCTGAAAATGTATTCGATTTGGGTATGAATTTGTATCTTATTTTATTTGAAGATGAATTTACGTCTGCTATTGAAGGATATGTCTGTGATCTGATTGGTTCAGTGGTTTCCATGGAATCAGAAGATTCATTTTCAGTATTTATGTCATCCATTTCATATTCATAATCTTTATCTGCATGATCAGATTTTTGATAACTGAACACGGAATTTTTCTTCTTGCAAAAAACTAAAACGGCAGCAGATATGGTGAGTGAAATGAAAATAAGAATACTCATTATGATTATTACGGCAGTTTTATGCAAATGAGTGTCGTCCTCTAATGAATCTACATCAGATATTTGTCGGAAGCTCGGCTGCATTGTTAAGCTGTCACTAGTAGTATTTAATAGTGTGATTTTATTTAGGCCCGGAGGAGTTGAATTGTGTAACCATGGCAACTGTTGAGGTTTTCCGTTCTGTTGAAGTGATACGTTGTTGTGAATTGAAGATGACAGTCCATTATGATTTGGCATTATACTTTAACATCACTGCATATCTTTAGATTTAAGATAATAAACAACACAAATTAAGGCTGTCTTCAATTATGTTTTGTTTTCAAAATTGCACAATAAGTGTCAGTGTAATATATTGATAAACTTTTCCCACAGTACCTGAAATAAAATAAAAAAAGAATATAGTATTCAAGATTAACACAATAGATAAAGGCCTTCTTCAAATATGGTTTTGTTTTCAGCATTGCACAAATGTTTGTCAAGGGAAGCAATTATCAATGTAATATAGTTATGGCTTTTTTGCTCATTAGCTGAAATACATGTCAAGTTTACTCAAAAACTTGAGAAATCAAGATGAGGAACAGCTAAAAGAACTAACTTGGAAAATTGTGAAGCTTGAACGGGACGATTCGTATCCTCAGACACATTCATCTTTTTTTTTTCTGAATCCTTTCTTTCTTCCTATTTAAAAATGCAAACAAGATCAGACATATCTATGTTTCTATCCTTGTCCTTTGGGTGTGATGAGTAGTTTTCTTATTGGTGATCATATCACATCTTCTAGTATTTGAATACACTAGCCATCAATAAAGGATACACTAGCCATCAATAAAGGATACACTAGCCATCAATAAAGGATTCAACCTCTGTGTTACCTTTTGATTTAGATAAGGACAATACTTTCTTAATTATAGATGCTATGAAATCAGGAATTTGAGATAATATCATTAAAGTTGGAATAATTTTCTAAAGCTCCCAAGTTACAGAAATTGCAGCTTAAGGTAGAAAAAGATAGATATTTGAGATTTGATATACATATGCCTTTAACTTTAATAGCCTCTGTGTTACCTATTGATCTAGTTAATGGTCATACTGTATGTCTGATATATATAGATGTAAAGAAATCAATATTTTTTTTTTTAATGAAATCAGAAATTTGAGATAAATATCATAAAAATTGGAATAATAATTTTCTAAAGCTCCCAAGTTACAGACAGAACAGCTTAAGGTATAAAAAAAGGATAGATATTTGAGATTTGATATACACTAGCCTCTATGTTACCTATTGATCTAGATAATTATCATACTGTCTGATATATTGATGAAAAAAAAAACAGGAGTTTGAGATAAATATCATAAAAGTTGGAATAATTTTCTAAAGCTTCCAAGTTACACACAACAGCTGAAGGTGAAAAAAGATAGATATTTGAGATTTGATATACACTAGCCTCTGTGTAACCTTTTAATCTAGATAATGGTCATACTGTCTGATATATAGATGTAAAGAAATCAGGAATTTGAGATAAATATCATAAAAATTGCAATAATTTTCTAAAGGAATCAGGAATTTGAGTTACATATCATAACTTTTGGAATAATTTCTAAGGCTCCAAAGACACAGTGAGAGTAGGTTAAAGTGAAAACAAGTAGATATGTTTAAATATGTGCTGGTCTTGGTTTGGGTGCTTGCTAACATGTTTAACCCCACCACATTCTGTATGTGCCTGTCCCAAGTCAGGAGCCTGTAATTCAGTGGTTGTCATTTGTTGCTGTATATCATATTTGTTTTTCGTTCATTATGTACATAAATCAGGCCGTTAGACTAGTTTTCTCATTTGAATTGTTTTACATTTGTCATTTCGGGGCCTTTTATAGCAGACTATGGGGTATGGGCTTTGCTCATTGTTGAAGGCTGTAAGGTGACCTATAGTTGTTAATATCTGTGTTATTTGGTCTCTTGTGGAGAGTTGTCTCATTGGCAATCATACCACATCTTCTTATTTTTATATATGGCCATCAATATAGGATTTAGCCTCTGTTGATTTAGATAAGGGTTACAATGTTTTAATTATAGATGTTATGGAATTAGAAATTTGAGATAAAGATCAATAGATTTGGAATAATTTTCTGAAGCTCTCCAGACAGTTTAATCATGGTTTCCTAATGGCTATTTCTGTCACCAAGGAAATGTCTTTATTTATATGTAAATATAGACAGTAGGTTAACTTTAAGGCTAAACGAAATTTGTGTGAGTTTTCTGCCTCCTTTCAAACAGAGGGGATGGGGTCATGGGAGGTTTGAACAGTTTCTTGAATTTTCAACTTTAAAGTTAAGAAATTGAATGATTTATTTTATAATTTTTTGCTCAAAATGAAGGTAAATACTATGTACATGTATTATAATATGCTCATTTTGAAAACGTTGCAGTTAAGTGGCTAACACAATCATAACCAAAAGAAAAAATACAACAGCAAAAAACAATCTGTACACTGGAAATTTAACATTGAATTACAGATAGAAAGTTTAATGATGTGATTATTGTTGAAATACTTTACAAGTCACATGGATTTTGCAATTATCTCCTAGATCTGCGGTCATAAAAATTTAGAGTACAATTATCGAACTCAGACTCAGAATTCAACCAATAAAAAACTGGGTTTGGCGTTTCAGGAACAAAATATTGAGGTGTAACAGCTACCCATTGTAAAAGAATAGAAATAACAAAATCCCAACAAGCTATACTGTACTGTATGAATTGCATACAATTTGAATTCAGACATATAGAATGACCATATTCTTTTATCATTTTCTAAGAAGAGTTCATGACCTTTTAAGAGCACTGCCGTTTCCTGATTTTCACAAGTTTTCATTTTGTGAAAAAATTAATAACGCAGAAGAAAGATCAATCTCTTTCTTGACTAAATGAAAATGTTCACCCCAAAGAAATTTGAAATAATCTGTTTTTTGTGATAAATTTGAATTTGATCTATTAAATATGATTTCAGTTTTCCCAGTACAATGGTATGTTGATGCATTTGATAACTAAACAAGAAAAATGATTCCCTGAAGTTCTTTCTTTATTGAATTGAAAATATCATTAAATAAGTCATTTTTGTAGTAGATAACATCAATGATTGATCAGTTTACAATTAAAGAGTTGTTCAAGTTAAAAGCAGTAAATTTAATTTAATTGCATATTGTAGAGAGTACCTCTTTTTGACAGTATGTGAAATTGCAAAAATTTGTTTTTCTGTCTTGGAATAAAGGAGTGGAGATAGATATGATTCAAGTCATTATTAAGTCGTTGAAGGTACAATTTTATAACAAAACTTTAAAAATATGAAAATTTGATGTAATTTTCTAGCTCTATTTTGTCATTTGGGACTGAAATAATGAATTAACGGTACATAGCAATAAAATGTCATGTCTGTTGGACTCCCCATTTCCAAAAATGTAGAGTTCCTGGACTCGCCTTCAAAAATCATTAGTGAGAACCCTGAAAGTCGTAGGGATTTCATTTTATATATTTATATTACTTTTGATTTTTGTCTCACCTTGGCGGGAGTATGCTGTTTCCAGCGGCTGGGGCAGCTTCAACAATGTATTAGTTTGTGATTAGGTCTAGTTTATGGTGAACCACTAGTGGTAGGTCAATGATATTTGGTATGCCGTTGTATTAGCATTGGCACATCTCATTTCCATGGAGATTATTTAGCCCTGCCCCCTCAGTTATGGTCTATTGACTTTGAAACTTTTGCTTAGTTTACATGTATTTGTTTTTGATTAGGTCAGTTTAAGGGGAACTATTAGTGGTAGGCCAATGTTAATTGGTATGCAGTTGTATAAGCATTAGCACATCTCATTTCCGTGGAGAATTTTTGGCCCCGCCCCCTCCCCCTCAGTCATGGTCTATTGACTTTGAAACTTTTGCTTAGTTTACATATATTAGTTTGTGATTAGATCAGTTTAAGATGAACTGCTAATGTTACGTCAATGATATTTGGTATTCAAATGTATTTGCAAGTCTTGTTTACATTGAGATTATATATAGCCCCACCCCCTCATCATGGTTCATTGACTTTGAAACTTTTACATAGTTAACAAGTTAATGTTTGTGTTTAGGTTTGTTTAAAGGGAATGACTTATGATAAATCAATGGTATTTGGTATGCAGTTGTATTAGCATTGGCACATCTCATTTCCATGGAGATTGTTTAGCCATGTACCTTCAGTCATGGTTCATTGACTTTGAATATTTGCATTACTTACATGTTAAAGTATTGCTATTTTAATTTAAACATTTGCATTATCAAAATTACAAAAAAGGCAAGACATATCTCTGTGTTAACAGTTTATTATATAATTCAATGGAGCTTACATTTTGTCACACCCTCTCTATTTTATGAGGGTCTTGATGGTTGGGGGTCATTCAATTCTGTATTCTTTTATCTTCTAGCCATTTCTCTATATATTCTGTATGGAGTTTGCCCATTATTCTCTATTCTTTATATTTAAGCACCCCATAATTCTTTATTCTTTTTTTTTTTTGGCGTAATTTTCTCTATTTTTTTGGCCCATTTTCTGTGATATTAGCCCTTTATTCTGTAGACCCTCTTTTTTTAACCCCTGCCGCAAAAGTGGGAGGGTTATGCTGGTTAATGTCTGTCTGTTATATTTTTCTCAACAATTAATATGTCATAGCTTCTTGATTTATGGCACCAAGCTTCTTTAAGTTATACCATATAGTGTAATATGTTTTCAATTACTTTTATAATCTACTTCCTGTTTGCTGAAAAATTTAACCATAAAAATGTCATGTGCATTAATGAAATTTTCATCCTATTTTTTTAGTATCAGCAACTACAAGTTAAGCTTCCTGAAAGTTATTGTTCAAAGATTGCTCATTAGTAGAAGTGCCGTAGTTTCATTTGTTTTCGTTGGTACCAATTTTCGTAGATTGTAAAAAAATTGTATTTTCTTTGATATTCATGATATTTGATTTCATAGTTTGGCCAATGTCTGCATATAAGCCTATAGAATATAAGTACATTAAAATTTGTGGTTCACATAAACCCAAGTAATCAACTAAAAGATTATAATACTTTGATTTGTCATTTTTATGCCCCACCTACAATAATAGAGGGGCATTATGTTTTTCGGTCTGTGTGTTCGTTCGTTCGTCCGTCTGTCCCACTTCAGGTTAAAGTTTTTGGTCAAGGTAGTTTTTGATGAAGTTGAAGTCCAATCAACTTGAATTTTAGTACACATGTTCCCTATGATATGATCTTTCTAATTTTAATGCCAAATTAGAGTTTTGACCCCAATTTCACAGTCCACTGAACATAGTTAATGAAAGTGCGAGTGG